AGGGATGTCGACTGAAGAACTCAAGGATCTGAATGTGGAGGAGGCTTGGAATTACTTTAAGTCGAAGTTGCAGAAACTATCTGAAGCCTGCATCCCAAGCACGGGGAAAAATTCATAGGGAAGGCTGTCAGACCAAACTGGATGAACAAGCACCTCAAACTGGTTATTAAGAGAAAGCATAAAGTCTACAAGGAATGGAAGATGGGAGGGATCAGTGAGGAAAACTAACTCACATAGGTCAGAAAGTATAGAGGAAAAGTGAGAATTGCTAAAAGCCAGGCAGAGTTGGACCTTGCAAAGAAAATTAAAGCCAATGTTAAAAGGTTCTTTAGCCATATAAATAAAAAGAAAACAAGGAAAGAAGTGGGACCACTAAGAACTGATGATGGGGATTAAATGAATACCTAAATGACTACTTCATCTCAGTTTTTAATGAGAGTAATGAGGAGTTTGGGGACAATGGCAGGGTAGCTAATGGGAATGAGGATATGGAAATAGAAATTACCACATCTGAGGTGGAAGCCAAATTTAAACTGCTTAATGGGACCACATCAGGGGGCCCAGATAATATCTATCCATAAATATGAAAGGAACTTGCACATGAAATTGCAAGCCCTATAGCAAGGATTTTTAAATAATCTGTAAACTCAGGGGGTGTATTGTATAGCTAGAGATTGCAAACACAGTACCTATCTTTAACAAAAGAAACAAAAGTGATCTGGGAAACTACAGGCCCGTGAGTTTGACCTCAATTGTATGCAAGGTCTTTGAACAAATTTGAAACAGAGAGTAGTTAAGGACAGAGGTAATGATTATTGGGATAAAATACAACATGTGGTTACAAAAGATAGATCATGCCAGGCCAACCTGATCTCTTTCTTTGAGAAGATAACCGATTGCCTAGACAAAGGAAATACAGTAGATCTCATCTACCTGAACTTCAGTATATCATTTGATACAGTTCCCCATGGGAAATTATTAGTTAAATTGGAGAAATTGGGGATTAATATGAAAATCAAAAGGTGGGTAAGGAACTGGTTAAAGT